CGGTTTCGGTCTGTTCATTATCGTCTGGCTTTACTTGAAATTTGGACAAGAATTTTGTGGAGGCGGAAACTAGTCACAAGTTATTACATTCATTTAACTGTGCAAGGAAAAGGACCCCGGTCACGTGTTCAGCCTTGACATAAAATCTGAACCGCAACTGTAACCTACGTGTAACATTGTACATGAGACGCATACACATTGTATGAAGCAATACAGGGGGTTATGGAAACAGAAATATTCCATTGAAATTGTCAGCTCAAACTGAACAAACATTGAGAGGTGTATGCCCCGATACGGAAGGTGTTGGTATACCAAGGGTTTGAGATAAATCCATTCCAAAAATATGCAATTTTCTACAATTATTAAATATTGAAGAACTTGTTTGCGGTGTGCCACGTGTCCCCAAACTTCTTTGTCGCTGTTTACTCGTTAAAGTTGCGTTTAGCTGCCTTAAAGCTGTAAAATAAGTGACTCCAGGAAACTGAGAGAGGGTACAGGATTCTGAAAGGTATCAAAATGGCACCTATCGCATTTGTGAGCATCCATACGTTTCCAAAAATAGCTTTCCAGCTCACAACTCTATTACTGTTTTGGCTTTTGAATGCTCCTGGTGGACCAAAAATCAATCAATTTTAGTTAGAATGATTGCCTGGCTCTGAAAATGATTTTTATGGAAGGGAGTAAAATCAATGCATGGCCGCTACATAACAATTACTGGAATAATTTATGCACGTATTCAGATCTGTTTGGACAGAGAAATGGCCAAATTATGCATGTACATTGCATTTCATGTGTTGAACAATTCCAGGAACGGGAGAACAAAATCGAAAGCAGGATAGCTCAGACTAAGCCCGATGTAGAGATCTGAGCTGATGACGTTTATTCGCGGACATAAATCACTCCAAATGATTTCTTCGCACGTCCTCAGCCAGCAAAACTTCAATCAATTCGGTTCAAATCTGTGTCAACTTCAAAGCTAGCGGAACAAGCCGAACCAGCTTCACATTATTCATGTCTACGGACGTAACAGGGGTTCAAGTGGCAAAGGGCAGAACGCTAAATGTGATTAGTCATTGAAACAAAACAAAGCTCTCTCTTTTTAAAATTCTGAAGGGAGGCTCAAGGCGGGGGAGGAGCCACAAGCCTCGCGTGGCACATGCAGCCTCTTAAACCTTAACTTTTTCTACAGTGAAAAAACAATTTAACGATGGTGACAGTGAAGACTGTAGTTGATGAACTATGACGGCTTGATAACAAAAATCCCAAATGCTTGCAGCCCCGAAACAATTTACCCCCGCCCCAAAAAAATTCGGTTCTGATTTCACTTTTGAGAGGAAGTGTTACAGGTAAACATGCAGTCGAAAGGTCGAAGTTCTCCAGTTTCAGGATGTCTGCAGTTCAGGTTCGGCGTAGTTCTGTGTTTTTGTAAGGCTCTGTTGGTGTATGGGTTCAGATAAGAACGCATGTGGTCGTAGCATGCTTTTAATTCATAATAAATTCATTTCCGGTAGGTTGTTTGACTGTGTTCAAGTTCTATGCAAATCGGAAGGCGGCCAGTCATTTCCAGGGACCATTCTCTCCATTTGTGAGCATGTACCATGCACTCTCTCTAATACAGCTATGATAGTACAGAGCCGTAGCACACCTTTTCGTTTATGCATATATAGGCCTATATGTATATATCGGCACTATTTCTGAGCTAAAATGATGCTGGTCGGTTACGGCGAACCGAGTGCCGTCTTCAACGCACATAATCTCCTCCAACCCGATGTATCTTGGGCCAACGAGCGAAATGTAACCTTTGCGACGGCGGATGGCTGTGTGTCCATGCAAAAAGAGACCGGAGGTATATCAGGATGCATGGCTAAACATTATTTCGCACGCAATGAGTTTACGTGACCGACCTGCGTCACAGCGCGGAGTTATGCGTTCATCGTGCAGTACCTGCGTCATGGAAGGCTAATTCTGCTCAGTTTTCATTGAACTGGTGTGGGAAAACATAAATGTATCCCATACGTACAGTTTTATGTAATACTTAGCCCTGTAATTTGACTATTTGACTATCCAGCATGACACTTCCTGCATATAAGTTATAATTCATGTACTTGTGTCTTTTATGTGTAATTTAAAGTTTATCTTATTAAATCCAATTTTGAATTTTTTGTCAAACTGGTCTTTATTTAGGCCTTGCACTGCTATTAAATGTTTTAATAAACCCGGTAATAATTACCCTGCATTAATTTGAGTCGTTTGGCCACAGACCAAAAGTGGCGCTTTTATAAAATTCTCACCATCATCACAAGAAAAACATAACATATGCACGGTTTTTTAAAAATGTGCGGTCCTAAATTAATTCATGTCTCCTCAGGGCCACCATAACTCACCGATCGTGTGAATGAAGGCTCCATTGAATGTATCGTCCGAAAATCGCCAAATCAATGACGTCTTCCCAACTCCCGAGTCGCCGATAAACAAGAGTTTATACAGGTGCTCGTATCCCCTGGTCGTCACGGCAAGATTCGAGACTCTTTCCATGGACTTGGGCGGCGGGGCCTGTGGAGCTGGACGCCGACTGATCGCGGCTGAGGTGGCTGGCATGAGATCTTTGTAGTACTGGGACGGTGTCCACGCCGTCCACTGTGGCATGTCAACGCCTTGCAATATTTGGGAAGTCTAGAATCCGGATGGTTTTTCTGTTCGAAGTGCGGCTATTGCATTACGTTGTTATACGAACTCATGATGCCTTTGCTTATTCTTTAGGTTTATCAATTGTTCCTCCCGTTAAGATACAAAACAGTAAGGCGGTGCCGACGCCGCAGGGCGGGAAGGTTTCAAATTACAGGTCAGAAACTTGAAAGTATGCAGTCCCATTAGTTCCAGCGATGTGCGTTCATAGCTGAGGCGTTCAAATAATTATTAGACTTCTTGGGTTAAACATAGAATTCCTACAAGTAAAATAAGTTAATCACCAATAACTACCTGTAATGAAAGTGTAAGACAAAAATGCTTGCGCACACTTCCGATTATAGGATGGTCGCAAGGTGCAAGTTATGGGCAACTCACTTTGTCGTTCAAAGTTTGTCATGATAACCCAGGCATCGTCCTTTTCGATCCAGGTGTGTTGTAAACAATGCACAAAATAGGCCTAATGACTGTCCTCTCGTCGTTTGGTGAACAGTAACTAGTGGCAGCGACAAACCGGTCTAGAGGGAGGGATCTCGTCCTGTTGATGTTATATAGGCGGCTGAGTTTGGCTACTGTGCAACAAACAACCTGAGTAGTATAGGAATCGAGTGATTTAATAACAATGGCAATCGCCGGTTCTAAAGACTTCAGCGGATGCTGCAGTTAATAGAATTTCCGTGCATTCTACTGGTAGGAAATTTCCCATAAGTGACACCCATGTACACACATGACTACCAACTCCTCTTGTGGAGAAAACGTGTCCATACCAGTGTCTCGATGCTCAGTGCTCATGTTTAATTTTTCTAAAGTCTTTGTAAAACCAAGGCTTTGGTTTCTACAACCTGTAATTTCTCAAGTTTAGCTTCGGCAGTAATATTTAAAACAATTTAAATGTGTTGATTTTCTCGGCTTATTTGATTCGTTGCTTTCAACTGAAAATCATTTCAGGCATGTGTCAAGGTGGGGGAACTGGATGATATTAGCAGCCCCACTTTTCTCATGAGTGACAGATAATTGAGTGAACTTGCCATGAAGGTATAGACACATAACGTCTTATTTCGTGTTGATCGATCATTCAAGGCGTGCTTGACTTGCTATCGATGTTTACTCAGTGGCGTAGCTAGTATTTAATTGGGGGGGAGGGGGCACCAGCTTTCAGTGGTGTGGTTTTTTGGGGGGCAAGTTTTCGTTAGCCCTGTTCAATATCCATTCATCTATTTTTAATGGGGGAGCACCTGGGGGCACCGGGAATTTGTGGGGGGCACGTGCCCCCAGCCCCTTCCCCGTGGCTACGCCCCTGTGTTGATTCCCCATGACTTTGATGCTTGGGGAATACATTAGAACACTAAAGGATAAGGAAATTAATCATATAGCTGGCATACACCCTCTCTAGTTCCGGTGCCCGTTTGGCCAGCGACGGCTACGTAGACCCTACTTAGAGTTAGGGACCTACATGTACAGTACATGACGCGTCCTGTGGTGTGGGCTGCTGTTGTACTGTCGTGTCGGACCGTTGACGAAAATACACATACGAACCCATTTTTTAAAAATAGGCACTAAGCTGGATTGTATCAACCAAATTAACCAAGTAGCTACAGCATAGATCAAACTACACAGTTTCGGGTTTTTTTCTTGGTTCATTCTATTTGTAGAGAAGCTATCGCTAGTGGATCTTCAAAATAGTTCAGGGGTTCTCTGTGGGATAATTTCCTCCCAATTCATTGGCATGAAAAGTGTCCCCTCATTTCTGTTGATAGAGGAGATTGTTTGACCCCCCATTGGTGAGACTATGTAAATACTTGACATGATCAACTCCCTGCTTTTTGGCTTCCCTCTGAGAGCAGAATAGATAAAAAAAATACGGTTAGAAAATGGTCCTAAGTGCCCTAGATTAAAAGTGAGACATATGAAGCAAGATATGGGACGGAGAGCACCCCCACACCTTCGTGTTGGTCATTGTTTGATCACAAACTCAGTAATTCTTTTCAGAAATCTAGGGGGATGCGTCAGGTAACAACAGTCTAGAGTGTGTATAGGGATTGGACATGTCGGGGGGTACCCCTCCTTCCCATATCTTGCTCGGTATAAAAGGAGAGAAATGGCTGCATGCAGACTTCAGAACTATCACATTTCCGAGGATAGTTAAAAAGTAATTGGTTAATTGAAAAGAAATGGGAAGATTAAGAACAAAACGATAATTTTTTTTTTATTTTTTTGAGAAACACCAGGATGCACTCCCGACACACAACTCTGGAATAAAGCGCCGCCACGTGTTGTAAAAAAGCACACACACTGGGGCAAACTGGCTCCACTTTTTGGGTCGGATGATAAGGCAGTTCGTACACGGGGACCAGTTATGTGGAGCGGTGATCACGTGACATCTCCCTCTTTCCATTGGGATCTTATCAAGCGATCACCATGCCGGTGAGTTCTCTCCTCAAAATACACATTTTTTTTCTGAAATGAGGAACTTGCAGTGAATATAAACTGTGTGATTATGTTGTTGAAATGTCAATAATTACTAATACAGTGTCAAATAAGCTGAAGACATGTTATAAATGAGCAAAATAGACGGCAATTCCTTGGCAATTTGTAGTACGTCATGATTGTTTATGTACGTAGTCCATGGTCAGCCCAACTTAGTGCTCAGGCCTAGTTAAACATGTGCGACAACTTTGTCGAAGCATCGTCGTACGTGTACATTGCTTTAAAATTTAATTCCGTCTCGGTGAAATTTGCCTTGTATATCTAATTGGGTAGTGCGGTCAGTTAATAAATAAAATAGTGAAAATGAAGTTGATGGCTGGCATTTTTTTTACCATGTTGACTGAACACGCATGACATGCTGAATGTGAATGCTTGACATTGCACAACAGATTGAAAATGAAATAGGCAGTATACAGGATATAGTACAGCCCAAGCGGCAGAATAAATAATGTGGCAAATGTCTTGTGCAATTCTTGTTTCTCCATGGTGAAGATAAAAATATTTGGGCCCACACATCAAACAGCATTTGCAAGAAAGTATTTCACAGCATTTTGAGCTTGTAAGCTTGGATTGTAGTTCAAGTTGTCTGGATTTTCACTGTGACAGAAGTTTGGAAAAACTTGTAAAAACATGCCGGTAGGTTGTGTCTTTGGTCCAGGTCGCATTAAAATGTGTGACCAATGGTTACATATTTTTGCAGATTTGATTAATTGGTTAGGATACCTTGTTCTATTTCTCTCTCTGTTGAGCCTTTGGAAGAGAAATTGGAACTTTTATTTGAGTTAAATAGGGCTCAACTCCAGTGTCATGTGCATTTCAGAGTGGTTGTTGTGATAGATGCATAGGGAATATTTAACTGATCAGTCAAAACTACATGCAGTAGCAACATTAGGTGCAGTAAAGATCATAGGGTTTCATGTAATTCTGTTCAGAAAATCCAAATTTGGGGAAAGTAATTATCACAGCATTAAGGAATGGATTCACAAGATTGACATTGTGCAATGTCTTATCTGGCACTGCTTAAATTTGAAAGATAAAGCTATTCGTGGTGTTTGGTTGTGTTTGTTACTTCATTTGTTCCTGGGAGCTGTAATTCCCATCAAGAAATTTCTCATAGCCATGAATTCTTACCAAATAGAATAGTGGAAAAAGTAGGATTAGGGAATTAAAAAAAAACCTACCTCCACAAAAAAGAGGGGTTGAAGTATTGTCCAACATTTATTTAGGTTTTGTTTTTTGGTTTACTGTTCAATGTTGCCTGGTAAAAAGTTGCATGTTGTATGTGACAATATGAATAATATCTTCTGGGGTATAAATAGTTGGGACTTCACTGTGATTATGTAGATTATGTGCGGCCTTTGTGTTGATGTCGCTGAACGTAAACATTGCGTGGAGGCGTAAGCAGCTACATGTAGTGATTTCTCACCAGGGGAATTCCCAAAGGTGAGAAATGGCAGCGGGGCAGTGGAGAGTGGCAGTGTAAGAGTGCTGGATACAACGAGCTGGTACAGGCTCAGGAAAGCTGATTCATCCACCAGCTATGATTCAGTCCTGATTCATCCATGATCGTCATACATGCCTGGGAGTTTGAAGTGGCTTCAGTTTGATCAATCCTTGACTGTAGTGTTGCCTGACGGTGTTTTAGTCTCATCATGTTGTAGATTTGAGGCCTGGAATCATGTCAATGCAGGGATTGTTTTACCTCGATTCAAACTCGATTCTTCTTTAGTACATGGAGGTGTTTTCTACAAAGACTGGAGACCTGATCACCTTTCAACAACCAACGGAATTGGTCTCGCAGCTGCTGATATTTCATTAACTACAAGTCTACTTCATAGTCTTGGCTCAAGACATTGCCACCTGATACTTGCCGCCCATTCAAATATCCACACTATTGCACTTAAAAATATTAAATTAATGGGGGGATACTTTTATATTGACAAGAACCCTGCCTGCACGCTGTTGAGCCAAGTCAAGAATCAGGGAATCGATTTGATACTGTTCAGAGGAATGCTGGCCATTACAGAATTGAATGTACATAGTGTGGAATCGATTCCATTTGATTTCGAGGTCTAGATAGTATTTGCTTTGTCATTTTCCGTCAGTACTACATTTGGGTGTTCTTGTCCTCTTGCAGCTCGCCAGAGATTTGATCAACCCCAGCCTCGAGTCTGAGAAGCGTAAGCACAAGAAGAAGCGCTTGGTGCAGAGTCCAAATTCCTACTTCATGGACGTCAAGTGCCCAGGTAGGACTTCCGTTCCCGGCATCTTCAGTGACTGAGGTTTGGGGCCGCTACTGACAGTTAATGGGCATCTATTGTACACATATAGACTAGCAGTGAGGTCGTTAGTGCAGGTCCATAGACCCTCAGGGACTGTGAGTGACCAGCAGTGGGTCCCATGCCCGTCCATGTCTGTTTTAGGCAACACACCTCTGTCCAAAATGTAACATAAGCTTTTCTGAGATTCACAACAACTGTATTAACCCTAACTGCCCAGGTCCTTGTAGCAAAGAGAAAATTGGGTTCAGTCCTTGAAAATCTTCCCATATTTCTTGAATATGTTCTGTGTAGGGGTGCCCACTGCCTCAACCCTCAACCCTCAATTGCTCTCATTGTACTGAGGCAGTGCGAATGGCATCCTGGAGCATTATGGAGGATGGAGTTGGCATATAATGTGGGCATGAATTTACGCACGGCCGAACGTAAACAGCACGAGGTATAACCCACAACCTTGAGACGACGCATCCTTTGCAATCAGCGATGCAATTTTGCCATTCAGTCTCAATTCTCCCAAATCCTCCAAAACTGTCTGGAGGATTTTGAAGGATTGAGGATGGCTAGGGTTAATTTAACCCTCAGTTCATAAGTAACTCAAGAAGTAATTTAATAATTACGGGAACCTTGGCTCAGTTTTTGAGTTGCTGTTCACTGCTCGTATTGTATAAAGGGTTGAATACTGTACTCCAGGAGTTGAAGGGTTGAATACTGTACTCCAGGAGTCTGTGTTTGTCTGGTTAACGCTGGTGCAAGTCCACGCGCAAGCCTGTATTGGGTTATAACGGTGCACTCCAGTCAAACGAGTGTCACCCTGGCAAAATTGGTTCACATCACTGATCATCAATAGCCTTGCCTATCACAATGTCCAAAAGGGAGCTAGGACCGTAGGCTTCATGCGTAAGGTATGATGCAGACCAGTGACCCGTTAACCTGCACCCCTTGATGTCAGATATTGTTCTCAGCTGTGAGCTGTCTTGCAGAACAATGTTAAACAACTGTGGAACAATGGAAGATGCCCTTTTTGTTTTTTGGTCACTGTCAGGTTGCTACAAGATCACGACTGTGTTCAGCCATGCCCAGACTGTGGTCCTGTGTGTTGGATGCTCCACCGTGCTGTGTCAGCCCACGGGTGGCAAGGCAAGGCTCACAGAAGGTAAGGGATGCTCAGGGACGACTGAAGGATAGATGTGTGATTTTTCCATAGAGCTAAATATGAAAACTAGAGCGCTAACTTCTCATTCTCCGCGTAGAGAGAATTTGACTCCGTCGTGGTTGCAGACATTTTGAATCCATGTATGTGCTTGTGCACAAACCTACGGGAAAATTTGAAAGTTTAGACGGCTTTTGTACGGCTATTTGCATATCTGCGTTTGATATCATACAGATATCTGATAGAATGAGTATTGAATTATGTACTCTAAACATAATGCGCATTGGGTACCATTAAAATCTGATTTAAAAAGTCACTGCAATATAATCTGCGGTGCATACGCCCATGTGATTGCGTTGTTTACGCAGAGCAAAATGGATAGCTCATTTACTGATTGTGTGTTAATTTTTGTGTGTATCGGCTTTATTGAAGTATCATTTTAGAATTCAGAAGCAGATATGCCAAATAGCCGTACAAAAGCCGTATAAACTTGAGAGTTTTCGATAGGTTTGTGCACAAACATGGATGCGCCCAGCAGGCATCACTTTGTACATAAGTTAGCACTCTAGTTTTTATATATGGCTCTATGGAGTTTTCACATTTGAAGGTGAAGGTGTCTGTATTCAGTCCTGGCCCAATTTCATGGCGCAGTTTAACAGCCAATTTGTGCTAACAGAACCTCTGTACATTTCACAGAGACAGTGTGGCAGTAAGCACAGTAAACGGAAGCTTAACCCCATAGGGAAAATATTGCTTTGATTGATAATGTAACTAGAATGGAGCGCCACGTAACCATATGCTGACGGGGAGCCTAGCTCTTTGGTCCAGTTTCGGGCTCCCCGGTTTCGTGTACAAAGCCTATGTTCCTGAAACTGGGGAGCCCGAAACCGGATGAAAGAGCTAGGCCTTGTAACAAAAGACCATACTCGGAACAAAAGACCAAGCTGCCAGGAATTTTGCCAACATTTTGGCAATACCTGAGGAAATCCGTCATTGTTTTGAGAGATTATACCACCGTTTGTGGCATTCAGCAAGAGCGGATTACCACCCGGGACAAAAGCACTCCTGTGATGAGCTATAAAATACCACTGCACGCTAATCTGGCCCCTATTGAAAAGAGGCCAGTAGCACAATCTGGGCTGTTTTTACAAGGCGGCAGGCCTGGCTGAAATACTCTGTGTCAGTAGAAGTCTGTCAGATTATCCTTCGTAGGTAACCTTATTGCGTGGTGTGTGTGTGATGTCCAAATGCGCCAAGTACGCATATGCAACACTGGCAACTGAAGTACAGAAAGTCTTGCATGATAATCGCTACAAAGCCAGGAGATTTGAGCTCAAATATTACTTCATATATGTAAGAGTTTGGTACTTACCTCGCAGGAATCTTTGATAAATGTCTTGCGCATTTCGATTATTTTAAAAAATGCTTGCCTTAAAATTCCATTGTCCGTTAGGCAAAACACTTTGTGCGGACCCTGTCTTGTTCATTATAACGACGCTCCGCTGTACATCAGTCTGCATGTGCATGCAATAAACATCTCTTTGCCATGAAATAGTACTTCGGCAGCATAATTTATGGCTATAGTCAGCTCAATTTACATGTACATGTATTTGCCGTTAACTAGTGCCACAATATTGGACCTTTTGACTACATGTAGTACAAAATCACACTAGATACCAGAAATTGTTTGAAGTAACAGTCCAGTGAGATGTCACAGTATGAAATCTTGTGGACCGATTTCCTTCTATCCCTGTCACTGTCTACCCTCAGGCTGCTCCTTCAGGAGGAAGGCCCATTAATCCGCCAGTGTTTGTCTCCAGCCCGCTCGGGTGTTCATGTAAATAACGTCCAGCCCGTAGCGGGGAGGGAAGATCACAGTATGTCCCCTCTCCCTTTCTGACAAAGCCTAGCCTACCGACCAACACCGACCTGCACCTGACCGGCCTGAACCAGCGTGATCCAGTACCAGAAAATGTGCTGAGTGGAAAGAGTTATCTCCAAAAGAGTAGAGAGAAGACTTAAGAAAAAGAGAGTATTTGCTTTGCAAAAATCATCTAATAATCTGGTGATAGGGATAGGATAATGCTTGACCCCATATAATCAGTGCTTAAATTTAAGAGCTTTTTTTTTTTTGTTCCGAGCTATGTATCAGTAAAGCTCAGTTTGAGGCACTAACGGTGGTGGCAAAGGGAACTTTCTGACAAGTTCCGACGTCATCCATTTTAAGTGCAAAATGTACCATTGCTGTGCACTGTATTGGTTCGTGTTTGTCATGGAATAAAAATACTGTGCGTCTTTCCTCAAAGTTGTCTCTGGTATTTGCGTTCATTGAAGTCTAGATAAGTGTCACTGACACATTAAAGTCAACAAGCGTTTATGCTGTGCTTGTTAACTTCTGTTGAACTTGTTGATGCTGATGAGATGTTGATACCTTTCCATGAAGGAAAAGACGACAGCTTCATTTACACTGAATAAACAACAGCTTTTAATTTGGAATCAGATCGCCACATTAAAATTCATTAACATGTGTTTATGGACATCAAATATTTCTGACATCAAAGAGCAAATGTTCCTGTGCCCCTTTCCATGTCAGACACAAATACTGAGACTGCCACTGTTCTACAAGACAAACTGAATAGTCGCATGACCGACATGAATTGGTGCACTTTCCTTGGGGCATCTTTCTCCATCTCTTCACAAAGCCTGATACGCTCGTCTACAATGCAGACTCTCAAAAGTGCATTGAGATGATCTGTGTAGACGGAAATACCGATGTCTGCCAGAAAGCAAGGTTCAGGCCATGTTCTTTGCCACAATCCGCAAGATGGAGCAAGCGATGATAACCCAGCACACCCAAATGAAGAAGATTGTGAAAGCGATCATACGCTTCCTGCCTCCGCCCACCTCCTGGGCCCCTCCCCCTTCGTAATAATCCTCGTGCTTGTCATCCTTGTACGCGTAGTCGTCATCCTGTATAGGAAATAAGTAAATACTGGTGAGAAATTTGGTGTCGGGGGGGGGTGGATACATGTTTGGATATTTAGTAATTCGCTTGAGTCAAGCAAGCCACCAAGTCCTTTTTAAAAAAATTCTACCAAATTGGAAAAGAAAAATAATCTGAGGTAATGACGTAATGGCATAGCTAATAATTCTACAAGCCTGAAGGTGCCTTTGTGCAGGTGCATTTTTGGTGCATTCTAGAGTGTCCATTGTTTGTATGGCAAATCAATGTGGAATGAGTTGTAAAATCTATGTGTGCTAAAGGTGCCCATAAGTAGCAGTTGGGTTTGCCGGATAGGGACTTCATATCGTTGGAAGAGCCCTTAAAAACAGGTACACTGATTTTTTTTTTTAAATAGCTTTTGTACAGGCGTGTCGTACCCTTTGAGGGCGCTCTACCCTTTTGGCAGCCCCCTTTCAGACCTGAAAGCCTAGCGCTGGAGACGTTGAGTCCCAACATTGTCAACATTCACCATCCTGCTTTTTGTGGACGCAAAATAGACGCCGTGTGTATTTGTCTGCTTTCTATGCAACAGAAAGGTGTGGTTTTCGCAGATTAGGGGCCTAATTTGGACTACAATTAATTACTGATTAAAGAAAGAACTATGTTTCAACCAGACCAGATACGGTACATCGCGATTCAGGTGAAACCAAGCATGGGAAGAGCTAAAACTAATTCGGCCTGAATGACATCAGAGAATCTTAGGGAATACGATTAGAATGTACGCCTACCGGTGATCGACGGATCCTCAGAGAACCATATCTTGGCATGGCTGGTGCATTTGTGCCGTTAGGTTTTTGCCCACGGGAATTTGGTCCTCCATTAAGGAGAAATGTCGCCCCCTTGTGTCGAAGCCTTACAGGTACATCCTTCGAGCCCAAGTCCGTGACATCATCTTCAGAGTACACAGGTAAGCCTGAAACCAACAATAATTTTCAAATACGCACATTGATCTATCGTGATCTTATTATTAGTTATTTTATTGTTTTAAGGGAAGAGAGGGACCAGATGATTCCAAAGTGAAAACTACAAAAATTTTAGATTTGAATACCGGGCTTTGTGAAAAAAAAAATCAGGGGGAACTTTACGCGAGTTTGTCTTGTCCCAAATTTCAGTCGCAGGGAGTGGAGTTTCCCGCGAATAAAAACACAAGTTTTGAGAATATGCTACAACAGTAGGTCTAATTTTTAGGCCTACCATCTGATGCCATGTTGCAACACAGTTCTGTGATCAATCAGAAGAAAACAAAAGCCTGCAAAAGTTTAACTCGCCTTTGGCTGAAGGTGGATTGTACATTTGGGGACCCCCGATTTTTTGGTCATTTTAATCTTGAAAACTGGTCACCCCCCCCCAAACAAAAGCAACGCTCTCTTTGTTGCAATGCCCCTGTTTTGTGGGAAATTTCAAATTGTGAAATGGGACTTTTTTTAACCCAACATGTGTCGGGTTAAAACATGCATTCACAGTTTCTCCTCATAATTTCCCTCAAAACTCTGCCCCCTTTTTACAACATCAACCGTGCAGTTATTGAGCATGATGTCATAGTCAACCAAGTGTTAATTCAAAAGTTAAAGTGTAGGCCTAGGTCTCCCTTCTATCACGGGGTCTCCAAATATACTATACCTTGCTGAAGGGCCTGTCCAAGACTTTGCACACCAACTTCGATTTTGATTGTCATTTCCCCCTCATATAGCCCTACCCGCTTAATTAAATATTGCGACAAAACCCAGTTTCAGAATTGCGGAAATGGGTGATGTGGTTAACTTACCGAAAATTCAACTAGGCCCTAAAAAGCCCATCGTCACATTTATAACTCGTCGGCCGACTTACCCAGCACTATTGGAGCCACAGTGGTAAACGTGAAAATGATGACACCAACGACTACTCTGTCGTGTCTTTGCATGTCAATGGTACAGTTGTATTAACCCAAAAGTTTCAACTAACTCCATAATTCTCACTCATTTGCTGGTTGGCCAACGTGTGTAAACGCTGTTGCAGAATAATTTTTTCAAACGGATGCGTGTGTGACGCGTGAAGTCTCTGCGCATCGCGCGTGTGCATCACCCACGCGCTCAACCAAATCTCCTCTGAAGAGAAGAATACGGGCGTTTCACAATAGTGCACCACCAAGAGATTGCAACGCGTTGACCAATCACACTGCGCGAAATTTGTCGACCCAATGCTCGTTCGGAAAGGGTCGACAAATTTCGCGCGCTGTGATTGGCCAACGCGTTGCAAACTCATGGTGGTGCACTATTGCGAATCGCCCCTATTGTTCTGTTGTGATGGATGGTACAAATTTAGGTACACTGGTGCATTCTCATTCCCGGGGGCGGGCGCGGGAATCCCTTTGACGCATTAGATGTGCATATTATGTGCGCTACTCCACAACATCAGTTTCTGAAACAGTCGGCAGTTGCGCATCTACACTTTTACTTTCAAGCACATTTTTTTTCCCAAAAGGATTCACTATACGGCCCTCGGTACACTGTATAAAAAGTGAAGTGTTGAATCCAGCACTTACAAAGGTCCGGTCAGTGCCCACCGTTTGACTGAAGTGTTGAATCGAGAATTTTTCTGCTGAATCCAGTATTTTAAATGTTAAATCCAACGCTTAATGTAGTTGATTCATAAGTTAATTCAACACTTCCAAAGTTAACACTCTAAGATGCTAAATTAACAGTATACCGCCAGTGTTGGATGTAAAATGCTGATTTCAGCATCTGAAACGCTGAATTCAACAATTTCAGAGAATGGTCGTTGACCAGATTTAACGCTTCAGTTCTTGGAGTGTAACCGTACGTTGCGCCAGTGGTAACTGTCGACTCTGTGCTTCCAGTCCATTTGTCTCTGACAGACTCTAGCCGTTGCCGGCCTAGACTTTCGGACACATTCCAAATAATGACAAATAACAGCCATTAGTTTTCATGGTTGTTCAGCTGTGGTTTATTACTCCGCGATATTTGCATACTATCGGATTGTCTCCTTTAAGGTGAAATTTCTTCTTCTTCTAGAATTCCCTAAGCAACGTTTAGTAACTATCGGTAATTTTTATTAACATTTTAATTTTGCGAGGGCCCACTCATAATCCCTTGCTGTAGGCCTGCCTGCGGTGTAAATTTATTCAGAATATGAGCAACCTTGAGACAAAGTTCTGAGACTGATGATTCTAAAAAACAAAGCACCTCCAGAGTACGCACCGGTACAGTGCAAAGCGAAGCCATTATCTTGTAAGAGAAGGAGTAGTTGTCACGAAAAAAAACAAAAAACTCGTCTTCAACTCTGCTTTGGAAATGGAAGGGCGCCCCCTCAAACGAAAGAGAACGTACAGTACATGCGCAGGCATTCCTCTGACAACTAGTTTTGTTACCACTACTTTTAACAAAACAAAAGCCCTCGGTAAGTGATCGGTTTTACAGGGGAGGTATCGTAGTTTACACACACATTATACTCAAGTTTTCTTGCCGGGCTATACAAACGAATTTGACCGAGATTCGATTTACAGTGAATGTGCACAGGCTGACTTTTCTGGAGGGAAGGTCTGTCTAGTTTTTGGTGCATAATTTTGGATGGTATTCGACATAATTACCCCCCAAAATTGTATTGCTTGTTTTTCTCAATTACTGATCAGTCTGACACGTCCTGATGCAGAACAATATTAGTACACTGTGAGTGCAGCTTGACGGATGAAAAACCTCAGTCATGAACCACGGTTATGTTGTTCGACTAACCTTTGTCAAAGGCTCGCTAAAAGTCAACGATGTTTACCAGGTCCAGTCGGCTTTTTTGGGGGGGTGGCCAGGAGCCCAAAGTTTCCTGTGTACAAGTGGGGGACCTTCATTTTGGTATATTAGCGCACACGTTCCAGCAAGTCACGACTTAAAATGAAATCAGTTAAAAATGGTCTTTTATATTTGAACTTGTGCCATGATGCCGGTAGTCTATACAGAGATTGCACTGCACCCTTTTCAATGGTTCCTTACCACGTCAAAGGAACTATTACCGAGTACCAGCTGCAAGGGCATCTCCTCCAATTTTAAAGATCTCTTTGTGCGTACACAGTTTCTGATCATGTAGCTATTGACAAATACGTATCCGTCCACTTTTTTTTTTTTTTTAGATTTTACGCACTATACAGTTTGACAATTCCCACTTTAGCAACTAAAAAGGCACGAATAACTGAAATCAATTTATTATATTAACACAAAACAGCTGAAAACAAATATATATAATTTTGACATCTAAATTTGTACAGTTTTGCATATTGAAGCATTAAAGTTTGACTTTATACAACACAGATTTACAAATTAAATTGGATCGTTCGTCGAGAAAAGTGAAATCTACTATTTGCTAATGCGGCCTAATATAAAGTAAACAACTTTTACGAATGCAAATGAGATGACACACGGTACATGTTCCTTTTTTGCAAGTTAGGTATCAATAGGAATTAGATTTAAATGCATAGTTGTATTTTATGCACAAATGACCGAAACATTTACACACAACACACATTTTTGTCAGTGTCCAAGTAGAACTTAATACCTTTTCCTTTATGAGTTGTAACATGGCCATATTGCTCTAGAAAGGGAATACATAAATACATGAATGCTAAATGTGAAATCGAGAGGTATTCCTAAAACGACACCGCTGTACAGCTTACTCTGGTTTTGTCGGGATAAATAAGGGAGGGCGTTCCGTTCACTGTAACGGAACATCAGATCGTGGATTGTTACACGCAGTTACAGTCTAAATGGAAACTTCACCGCCATTATTGAGGTAGAGGCATTTTTTTTAAAAGTAGCAAAATTAAACAAAATTCAAAAGCAGTCCCGTGGCTTTTGCTGAAGGGGAAAGACCAGATTAAATATAATATATGTCAGCTATATCAGCCACTGACCATGAATAATTAAAATTTAAATAATTTGGCACCGTTTGCTAAAGCATCGTGAGCTCTCGTCAACTGGAAAGCATAGAATTCTAGCTAAAGTCTGGAATTTTCTTTGAGCTAACCACAATATAGGAAAGATGCATTGCCCTTAAAAATATCGTTTTGAAAGAAAAATGGAGTCTTGGTATAACTAACTTCGCAAGTGCTCCATCACAACGTCGTTTCCGCTGAGTTAATTAACCGTAAGAACGACAACGCGAGTTATATTATGCAGGTGCAGTAGGGGTGCGAGGTTTGAGAAGCAGGGGAAGAGGGCTGATCTTAAAAATAGCCAATTGAACCCTAAAAAGAGCCGGGTGGAATCTGCCCTTTACTTTTCCGACGTTATCGCAATGTATGTTTATCGTGGCGAACTTTCAGGACTTTTCCTACTTATGGTGGAAGTTTAACCATTTCTAACCATTACTGATGAAAATCGGACATAGAGTTCTCCGGAAATGTCCTTTTTCCGGCCAAAATATTAAGTTTTCAAAAGTTTTGCATGTGCTCAGTCAGGCACACGCCAAGCGGGCCCGGCTGCGCAAGGACATGAACTATAGCCATAAAAAAACCTAAAATTTCATATGCGATTGAATAGAAACCCGCAGATGCAGGTATATGTCTTTTATGTGCCTGTCAAGTTTCAGAAAGATTGGTCATTGGATAAATGAGGTCTGGGGTGGCCCTCTCCATAGAGAATATGAAACAGCGGCCTTCCTGGGTTAATTTGCTACCTGGTTTGGGCTCACACAGCTGAAAGCCCCAGCCCATCCCCAACTTAAATATAATGCACACCTGCATGGAAACACAACCAGGTACCACTGAAAGAGAAACTGGCTCTTTCACCCGAAGACTTAATCGACAAGTTTGCGTCGATTGCGTTGTGTCTAAGCATACACCCATGCAGCTTCTATGAGAATTCGCCGTTTGAAAATGTGACGCGCTAATTACAACCACATGTTTAAAAACCAGTATCACATGAAATTCATTTGCATCGCATTACACATTACAGTGACGTATTAATACGTGCGATCAACGCTTGCCACTTAATTTTTACAAAAAATGTTGCTGTATCCTTGGTGAATAGACTTGGAGTGGTGTTCTCCGTGTAGAACCACAGAAGGTGCGTTTATCACGAAATACATACGATTAGTTTCAAATGCTGGAAGTTTCTATCAATCAGGAAGCGCCATTGCGGCTCCAACACCATGGCTACACATCTAGAGCATCGGGGTGATACCAGCTACCAAAGATTGGCTTTGTGATTGTGTACATAAAAGCAGGGTACCAATGGATTTGATCGTTGGTGGGCAGTCCTTTCTGCACTGGTGTCCCGAGATACTGCCTGATGCTGTACCACCACCGCAGCGGCGCAAAGACACCGTGGGACACCCAGTCAACGTCCAACACGGCGTAGTTTGACGCCGCCACGCCGTCCACGATCAACGTGCCTTGGTATGTGAGGGGAGCCACCGCCCCAGGTTTCCAGACCGTGGACACACCGGTCACCTTGACCGGCCGGAGTCTTCCTTCTCTGTCGTGGTCGTGCACTGTGGTGTACAGGTACTGACCGGTTTGGACGTCGCTGGCGAACACGGCTCTGCTTTCGGTGAAGGTAGAGTTCGTGTCCGACACGTAGAGCACGTGTTGCGGGGTCAGTGTCACCGTGTAGCCGGGGCGGTCAGTCATAATGATGCGGTACAGTGTGTCCTTGGTAGGGTTGCGATCCATGAATGTGATGACGTCACTGAAGGTCACCAGTCCACTGGATTTGTCCACCACCTTGACCTTGTCGCCGATCTGAAGGTCGGCCATTGTCCTTGTTTCGCCATTTTGCAGAGTGACCACGGAATCAGCCGGGAAGCAACCACCAGACCTCGCAGCTTCCGAAGAATCTAGGGGAAAGAACAATATCTTCGTTATTCTTACGTCAGAAATAAAAACTGGTTTCACAATACTTTTTATAAAAAGTGTTGCTGATCAGAAATTTGGGGAATCCTTTATTCGGTGTAATTCGTTTGCAGGCTTGGCTCAAAGTTGGTCCTGATTGAAAACGTCGACCCGACTTGGCATTCGGCCTCTTTAAGGCGCCTTAGGTAAATATGGCAGCTCTTTCTGTTTTGGTTTCTGTACAGATTCTACTTGAGGAGTATTGTGATCATAAACTGCCGAACATGCGACCGTAACAATCAGATTGACAACCGTATACGATGCAAACAACCCCCGTTTACTTTGCAGCAGAGTTCGTCGAGAAAGACAACATAAACTTCAACCTTTGACCTCATAGTTTTCGCATTCGACATCTTCCTTTGTTCGCCGCGATAAGCGACCCTTTTGTTGGTCTTTCCTATATCTCGCTGGGCAAACACTGACGCACAATTACGTCTCTGGACAAACTGGGTTAAACTCAACTCATTTGTGCTTCCGAAAGGAACTTGTGGCACCCCTATCTTGTGGTGGGCCGGAATTTATCATACCGTGGCCCAATGGCGGGGGTAAATCGAGCCAAAGTAAAGTTGAAGTCGGTTTGTCGTCTCTTTTGATGCCATCGCGACCAGCCGACAGACGCAAATAACACCATTAACTTGACAATGGCATAAATAGAACCAGAAATGCAAACATTGTTGGCATTTTTCAATGCACAAAAAATTTCCTTGTCATATTTCGGCGGAATGCCCCGGAATGATCCGGTATGCGGATCTAAAATACTATTCTTCAAATTTGAAAAATTGCCTGGGTTGAATTTTAACCCAAGCGAGGGTGAAACTGCAACTACCCAATAGTTTAAGTTGTTTCAACCCAATTTTGGTGATTAATTTATGGGTTGTTTAACCAAACAATGGTTAATATCCACTCATTTTCTGGGTGAAAACTGAAACAGAAAGTAATTCTCAACCCAAAGTTAGGTTAACACAGCCCGTATTTGGGTAGTTGCAGTTTTGACCCTTCCTTGGATTAAAATTTAACCCAGGCAGTTTTTCAGTGAAGAGTATAAACCTGAATGAAAGGATAATCTGTTGCCGAAAGGGCCAAATCAAACTCAAAGAGAGCACCCGTCTACGATTATGGAAAACACAGTTCAAGCTAAGTTCGGTAAAAAGAAATCGTTCATCACAGCCTTTGAATTTTCTGATATATTGGTCCTATACATCTCTTCAGATTTTCCAAATTGACAGCGTTGGTAGTGAGAACAACCTAAGCAAAATTGATCGTTAATCCTTTATTTTGTTAGGCAAGATTGTGTGGCTATTTTCCAGGTGTTAATGCTGAAATTCCCAGTAGAACAAAAATCACAGCATTCTGAACATGGCCCCGATTAATGCCAGTCTATTGGCTAGATCGGTACTTGGTGTATCGTCATTTTGTGTAGTGCTCGGTTTATCTGTCTGCATTTTAAACGCATGCGCATTGATAAAAATGTAATTTTGTCGGATAAGTCAGCACGTTTCACCGGTATTTCGACTCGAGCGTCAGCATCAGTGACAACTTGCGTTTTAGCCAAAATGAGTTCATGCCAGAGACCAACCACTAGTTTCAAATTAATGGGCCTCGATACATGATGGACTAGGCCTTGAACGACAAGGGGCTCGAAAGAATGAAGCCAGAGCTTCGAAGCATTTTGAAACTAAGGTTTGCGACAAAAGCATCGCATCTGAAAGATAGACCGGCCGTATAAGAAGATCCAATTTCGACCCGCGGCCGCGGAAGGACCTACCTGCCTTGACGGAGCAGTGGACCCAGGTTTTGGACTCGAAGGAGACCCAGTCGAACCCGGCCTCCACAGCCAAGCGGGCTAGCATGCCGTACTTGGACCGGTCCTTATCGCTCGTCGTGATGTCCACGGCCCGGCCCTCGTAATGGAGGGAGTTTTCGTCGTGGTGTCCGTCCTCGTCCCACGCCTCCGTCACGCGGAGCAGGATACCAGGCCACTGGTTCATGACGGAGATGGCCAGGGAGTTCAGCTTGTCCTTACATCTCTATTGAATCAAACCAGAGAAGCAGATGGAAACGTTGAGTTAGACCGGTTTTTTTTGGCACTTATGGCGCTGGCGTTTTGCTCATGCGGCCTAACACTCTCTGAACCATACACGCGGACTCGGACCATTCGATTGTTGTATTTGTTTCTCTGAGCAGGTTAAAAGCTGAAGTGTCATTTTGCTACTTAAAAGAGAAACTGGTACCCAATTGGATGGTGGAAATACGAAGTAACTCTCTGACACCTAACGTGACACTGCCGTAATGCAATTGGTCTGTGAAAGTAACAGTGTAAGCATTGACCATTGCCTTCTTCTTGTGCCGAGTTATACGGTAACTTGAATTTCACCATTTTCTTTCCCACATGTTTGAGGCATGGGGTTTAGGGTTTCATTTTTACTATCAGTAAGTGTTATGCATCATATCTGCTAAGACTTGAGCCAGTTTATATTCAGTGCATTGTGAAGGCGGTGACAAGGTGTCCTTCTTTCAGGACTGGACCCCAGTCTATCATGAAAAAAAATTCTTGTATCTTGCTACGTCACTGCATGACGTAGCTTGAATTGCCTGACCGTGGCCTGTTGTGGTCCAGGTGTTCATTCGTTTCACCAATAAAACTCTTTTCAAAGGATTCGCTCTGCTGGTTTTCAGTGGGATTGCATCAGGTGTCCAGATTTCTGCAGCAGTTGCGGAAATCAACGGACAGGCCCTCTTGAGAATGTGGAGCTTGGTCTGAAGTGGGGGCAATCGCCGCTCGTGGAGTGTGCCTAGCGGATATAATCTCCGCCTGCTTAAGCTTCCGCGCGGGCTCCAAACCGAAGAACGTATACGGTAACACGGGCAACAATCAAGTTCCCATACATGCAGAGAAGCATTACGAGTCGTCACTCTCAGGACTGCGGTCACTTCGATGGCAAAATTTCGGCCCTTTATGTATGTCCTTTATGCACGAGTCTATAATAGGCTGAGACCCTTTTGTACTCCAAGTCCAAGATGACCGTGAGTGAACCCCAAGTCGAGTCTCTTGTCTTTACCGCTGGGGTCCCACGGCTCCCATGACAGTCTGTCTCTAGGCTATTCTCAAGGGTGGCGGGGGCAGGTGGTGAGGACCTTTGTACCCGCCATTTTGTTTTCAACAGTCCGGGCTTTTAATTTCGACCGTCATTTAAAGGGAATCGACTTGTTTACGGCTTTTAACTTTTGTGACTGTGTCCTGGTTTCTAGGTTTGATTAAAAAAAGATGATCGTAATGTTGTCTGCCGGCACTGACAACGTAAGAAAATAAATTAGTTTGAAGGATGGAGTAGGCCTACTTGTATTGTGCAGGTCCAAAGCAAAAATCATTGGTACCCGCATACAATCATGCTCGATCGTTTTCAGCATATTGACGTTTACCACGATAGCAGATTGTCTTTTTGTGGTCATTATCTAATCCAGTTTGGCGCACCGAATCCGATCCACAAGTTGTTCAAGTTTGGTTGTGAAGGCGATAAAAGTTTTTTTTAAATGTCTGACGCGTGCACGGACGATCATAACACTCGGCCCTGTTAGGGAGCAGTGTGTTTTGTCACCTAACCGAATCGAATAAATCAAATCGTGTTGTGCAGAAGGTGACAATGTCAATTAAGGTCCAAACTCATTATTGGATTGTATTGGCAGTTGGTGTCTTGCACGAGTGGCTTTGTTGAACCTTTTCAGCTCCCTGTTTTGTGTTTGTTTTGTTTTGGTTCGGTTGCCAGCACCAACTCCCACTCCTTTGTAACCACAATGAAATAAAATATTTATATATATATATAAAAGCAGCCCTGAAGCTAAAGGTATTAATGCCTCATACGAATAACTTGAAATGCTTGGTCAGCGTTTCGAAACTCTCAACTGGTACCATGTGATTACTTGTAAATTACCTGTCGTGTTGAAAACAACATTTGAAGTTGTAAGCCCCGACCTTTGGAGAAATTGTCTCCGACATGAAATAACCGGCATATCCAGAGGGGAAGGGGGCAGGGAATTTTTTCACCCCCTGGAGACATGTTGCCAGTTTTTCCCTTTCGCGAATGAGAGAATTTGGTCAGTCATTTTGGGAAAAGTTCATACCCCCACCCATGACAATAACGACGCTTCTTCGGATCATTCCGTTTGCCAAAACGTTGGACATTTCCGTTATTGTTCAAAATTGTCATTTTTTTTTGACGAGCGTCAGTTGGAATGAATCTAATACCTTCAGGGCCGTGGGTTTATAAGTAGCCACTGACAGGACCCCCCCCACACACACACACACCCCAACCCACCCCACTGCCATCTCGCCTCGAGTACAGTCAAATTAAAGCGAACAAGTCCACCCCTTATTTCCCCACCTTTTGAGGGAAAGTTTCTTTTCACTCATAGTACGAGTTGCCTTCGGGAGTAACAGCGGCGGGAAATGCCAATCACTTCCCCCAGTTGTGTTGACGTGTTGAGCGGCCCGTGAAATCCAGGACGGAACTGTGCATGGCCTGGAATTGTTCCTCGCTTTTGGAACAAATCCCCCCGTCTAGTTTGAATTGGCCTCTTTTTCTCCACTCCAACAACATAAAAAGTACTTCGCCAGGGGCAACTGCGTGCAATAACCGCAAACGACGTTTTTTCTTCAACGTATGATAACAAGATAGTCTCTTACAATAAACTTCAGTCAAGTTTATGTAATTTTTGGTATAGGAATTTTTCAATTTTTAAAAATAAGTGGTTGTGGTTTTTCTCGATCTTTCCCCAGCCTCGTGTGGTTGTAGTCTAAACAGTCGAGGCGCAGTGAACAGGAGACAAGATGGCCATAAAACAGGGAAACCCTTTCGCTGATCTCCCTCAAAGCCTCGAACTTCTCGGGTTCCTCGACTGTTTGGCTTAGAAAAACGCTCCTGTGTCGCAACGCAAGCACATCAGAGGCTGTCTGGAGATAACTTTGTTTAACATGGGCTTTATACATCCGTCTCTAGTTGAAATTGGAAAAGAAAAATGGTTCCATGGACAAACAGGTGTTAGTGTCCCAAACTTTCTGGTGCACTTAAAAACTGCGACTTAATTGGTGAAAAAAAGTATAACGAGCTCTGTGCTAATCTGCTTTAAAGGTAACAACTGTTGACATGTTAGCAAATTTGGAGCAAAATCCCTCCCCCCAGAAATGTGAAATGCACAAAGGTGGAAGGGAGGAAAGGTGAAGGAACCCAGACAAAAGTTAAGCACTCCCTCCCATGCTGGTGGGCCGGGGGCCGGATCTGCGCGAGGGTGTATATCGGTACACACCGCGGCACTTTGAGGGGACGGACGCGGTTAAGGGGGTGAAAAGACCTCCGTTGCCGAAACGGACAACATTGGACTGGGGGGAAATGCAACAAAGGGAGCCTTGACAATGGACCCTGGGATTTGTGGCCGGACAAATACAAATTAGGACGCCGAGTACACAAGCGGAAATGTTATTTTAATGTCTCCGGGGGATAAGGCCACAAGGGTAGAAAATTAAGACACTGTATAATGACACAGACTTATGGTGCTAGACCGAAAGAATAGTATTAAACTATCGCTTCAACCAAGCAGCGTTTATTTAAAGTACTGGTGCAAATATTAATTTGGGCAATTTCCCCAGATGCATTTGGAGAGATCTTGACAATTATGATGAGTAATTTACTTTGTATAGAGGGAGCTGGAGTGCCGACACTTGGAGAGTCGTTATACCTAGAGGTGTTTTAAAAGGCAACGTGGTTTTCCCTCGGTTCAAAATAACACCCCTTAACTTTCGTAAAGGATGCATACTTTTTGTTAACTGATGTTTAATAACATTGCTTGGCGTGTTCAAGTGGGATCTTAGTGCTGGATGTTCATTAACTATTGCCAACAATTCAGCGGAAACTCTATTTTCTAAAGAAGGCGTCCATAACCTGAAGTGGGCGAGATGAACAATATTTATTTCCATGCAGTGATCGCCGGACAAACAATCGGACGGTATGGCGTCTGGGATTAAGCACGATGTCTGAAGACAACCTTTCATTAAACGGCGTGTTACCGACAAAGAAGGGGGTGAGAGTGGTCACCGCCAAAGTGTGAAAGTTGTGATAGATTAAAGCCAGCAAGCGAGAAGAGCCGAGGTCTGCGGAGGACCTGAGCAAAGAACACGGCTCCGACGCGTCGTTCTCTCCTGTTTGCCTTCTCGAAACTGTGAAAGCCGTGAAAATTTGCCGATCACCCAACTAACCCTACAGTGAACTCTGAAAACACTGGAAAAATTGGCCACACCTTCTGAGAAAGTTCCCCGCATGCACTGCCGGAAAAAAACAATCGACTGTTTCGCAAGCACGAGTGATTCTTATCACATAAACCCATTGTCAGTGTTTATATCGCAGGGCAAATAATCCAGCGAACTTTGAGTTATGGAATGAAAGCGCGGCTAGCTTTGTCCGGGTGTGAAGACGAGCAGATTAAGTCTTAATCGTGGAAATTATCTCTCCATCGGTCGACTTGTCCCTGCTCGCTAAAGATATTTGATTTGGTGATTTACAAACAGTGTCCTTGCATTAAGGCTGTGTGAAACTGCAACACTTTGTACAATGAATTAATTGTTGGGTTCCCCAGCTTTTAACAAAATATTCCCATCGGTGATACAGTTTGAAATCGCTTATAATGAGATAGACTCCCCCAACCAAGGAGTAAAAAATCGGGCGAAGCCCAAGATGGAAACGAAGCCAGTGTTTTAGATGTCCCATAGACGTGAAGAAATACATGTACATAAATCGGTATTGCGTTGACAACATAAGGCTAACCCTCTCACACATACGAGACACAGGCCCAAAAACGACCCCCCCCCTAATTTACAAAAACACACCTATGTTTGGCAAAATATGTGCGTTTATTTCTTCGAAAATGGGTCCCAATTCTGTATAGTGCTTTTTTTGTGTGGAATATTCCATCCACGATCTAGTTCAGTGGCCTCGCGTTCAGATGCCACAAAGTGCACGGCGCTGCCTTGGTTACCGAA